ATACAGACGTAAGCGCTCGTTCAGGTAGCCAGGACCCAAGCCGTTTAGGGCTTTGTAGGTCATAATCAACACCTTGAATTGGGCCCGGGCTTCAATGGGAAGCCAGTGAAGCTGATGGAGGACTGGAGTCATGTGAGCATAACGCCCCGTCCCCGTCAGCAACCTGGCAGCTCTATTTTATTTTATTTTATTTTGAGATAGTGAAAGTGGGAAGACCTGTATTAAGCAGGACATGGGCCTGTAGACTTCAGATGCCTTTTTCTATTGGTCTTTGTGAGATATCCTTATGAGCAGAGTGTCAGAGTCCATGTATGGCAGCTGGTTAAACGTATAACCACCAAGACCCAGACACCTTAATCTTAAATATTAACCAAAGTCCAATCCGTATTCCAAGCCAACAGGAGATAAGCACAACCCAAGCATCAGGAGCCAGAAAGTCTACGCAAGGAGAAGGTACCTTTGGAGCAGAAGCGGGAGTAGCAGCAAGGCTTAGGGGCAGCGGCAGCAGCCAAAGATTTGCAGAAGGGTCCAGGAGCAGGCATACGTCCGAAGTGCAGGATTCACAGCCAAGGTTTCACACAGTACCAGGAAGCACCACGACAAGTAAGAGAAGCTTCTCTGGTAAGGCAGCTTCTGGAAGGAGGAGCAGGTTCTTACATAGCTCTTCCCCTAGGATTCCCAGGTAATGCTCGTAAGGGCCCTGTTAGCTATAGTAGGCTGTGGGCCCCATCCTGCAACTACCAGGGCTGTTATTCTGGCCTTTGGCCTGAAGATGGAGCCCTGAAGCTGCCTCAAATCCTAACACAAAGCATACTTTGTAGTAAGTGCTTCTCTGAAGGAGGTGGCAGTGCCTGCTTTTTTGTCTTTTGTGTTAGAAGTAATCCTGGGGTGGATCTGACTGTACAAAGTATATTGGCACAAATGTCTATGCAATTGTGTAAATGAAGGATGAAGGGTCAAAAGCTGAAAACATCTGAGCAAGCTAATAACAAAATTGTTTCTGAAAGAAGACCAAAAAGCACAGTGTAGTGCAAGTGTTTGTTTTCGGGGATTTTTTGTTTGCTTGCTTGATCTGTCTCCAGTGTCGCACAGCTGGTTAACCAAATACTGTATGAAGTTGGAGTTATCCAGATACAGAATCAGTATGGAAATGTTGGGAGCGTGGTAAAAGTATTAGAAATCCAGATTTGGAGTTCAGATTGCTGGAAGAGGAATGTGCATCACATAGCGCTTCTAGATGCCGTACAGTGAGCAGGAAGCCCAGGGAATCTCATGCATTACCTCTTGGAGTTCATGTTTCCTGTGGGTATGATTCTTAGTACAGTGAACAACACAAGGTCAAGAAACTAGAAAACCGTCATGCACAAATTGGTGCCTCTTCACCGTAGATAGATACCAAGAATTTCCACTTCTATTGCAAAGAAAGTTGTATCAAAGTTTGTTTGACTAGAAGCAAGAGCTCTGACCTTGGAAGTCCCCCAGTTGAAATATTCCTTCAGCCATGCTCCCAGTGGGTAAGCTTAGGGGAGGTTCTGAGGGATTTCTGGCTGCAGCATGGGAATAGTAATACTGGATTGTAATTACCTCATTGTAATATTGGCATGCTTTGTGTAGTAGAAATGCCTAAAATAGTAAAACTTACATTTGTAAATTGCTTTAAACAGGAGGTGTGGCAGCATATAAAATAAGAACTGTATGAAGTTTATAAGCTTTGAGCAGTCATGTGAGGCTGAGAAAAGATCTGACATGTTTTCAAGATTAGATTGGTTAGTAGCCGTGGCCCATTTGCTTTTCTATTCGCATCTCATTCCACTGTGTTTTATGAACTTTTAGGATGACATACATCTTCAGTTTTCTTCAAAGTAGGAGAATTAGAAACTTGGTTTTTTAAAAAAGTTGTAAAACTATGATCTTGGTGGAAGTCAAATTATGAAGCTGGATTCTGTACAGAGCCATGTCTGGCTACGTTCAGGAATGCCTTCAAGATTACAAACATCTGATGTTTCCATTTTAAATCCCTTTGATGTAATGGCTAATAACAGTCTGTGGAAACAAAATGGCTCTTGTGCATTGACCTTGTGGACAGAATTTCATTACAGCCTGGGCCTTTTAGGCTGAATCTTAACATTGTCAAGGGATAATGATCAGGATAAGGGGGGAAAAGGCTTATAATAGAAATGCTGATACAAGTGTAGCTGGAAACGTGTTTCAGCCAGATGTGATGGGGACCAGGTCTTTCTTTTGATAAAGCCTGTATTATTCAAGAGTTAATGCCACTGACCTCATTTTTGCTGACTGCTGAGCCTGACTGGTTTGATAAATAAGGCTGCGTATACCCAAATCAGTGACTTGGTTGAACACTGTCTAGGTTATGAGGGCCTGTGTAATCTGTATCACAACATACTTTGGCTAAGCACTGCTTGCACACAGAAATGCAGCTTCGTTGACAGATCCAGATAGCAGAACAACCACCATGGGTGTGATTGGAATTCTGAATTAAGCAGAGGATCACAAGCAGTGCGCCAGATCTTAAGAGTCACCTTCCAGTTCAGCATCCTGTTCCCTAATGTCCGCTGCCACGTGTGTCTCGCAGTCATTCATCCTGGGCATAAAGCAAGCAAGGTTCCTTTACTATTTCATTGAAGTTCCGCTGTTCAGGTCTATATTTCAGTTTTATTTAATTCATATTTCTATGTCGCCTCATAACCTGAAGGTTCTCTGGGCGACTTACAATATTCCAAATGAACACGGAGGTTCTGTGTGGCCATGTGAATGATAGCTCTGGTAGACCTTTTCTTTGGGCGTTGTCTAAAAAGCTTTAATTTACGGAAGACTGGTGTGGAGATGGGATTTAAGTCTATATTGATCATTTGCAGAAGTGGTATAATCTATTAACTTCTGGCGTTAAGTTATGGCTGCTGCCATTTGTCTGGTGTAACTCTCTGTTCCTTCTCTTTATTTATTAGATGTATATCATGCCTTTTTTCTTAAAACAAATTCAAAATGGCTTACATAATCCTCTTCCTTCTCCTCTCAGTCTTATCCCCACAACAACAACCCTGTTAGGCAGACTGGGCTGAGAGTCTGTGACTGGCCCAGAGTCACCCAGTTGTCTCGTGGCCGAGCAGGGACTAGAACCCAGGTTGTGTGAGTCCCATCAAACACTTTTAACCACGACAACCCACTGGCTGTCTTGTTGCTAACTAATGCTAAATCTAAGTAATTTCCATTCATGTTTTGGTATGATGTCACCATAGAGTGATTTCTGTTGTGTTGCCTGCACAGACATAAAACGTTGCGGAATAGGTGGTGGGCAACCAGAGTACTCTGGCCCCTTAGAGACTTAAAATTATAGTCTAATGAGCTTTTATACTTCATAACGTGTTGAATGAACATCTAATTGCTACCTGAGTATTTGTCTGGAGTTGTCAGTTTTGTGTGGTTCAGAGGCTGGTTCCCCCCTGCACAGACTTTTCCCACCACCAACTGGGCTGCAAAACTGCTGAAATTCAATGATGTGGTGGAAAAACAAAACAAAACAAAACACCACAAACAAATCTCTTGGTTTCTGCCAAATTCCAGCAGCAAAGGCTAGATGTGGCAAACTTAGCTTGGAAATTTTTCATTTGCATTCCTCCGTAGCAGTTTGCTACCAAAATCCAGCAAGAAATTGTGTGCATGTGCGCACAAGCGCAAAAGAGGGGGATTTCAATCCATATACCATTTGTAACATGTTCTCCTCATTCTGTATCAGAATAAACCCTAATTTTCCATGGTTTGCTATGGGATGGCAATTAAGTACCCATTCTTGCTGTGCTAAGAACACATGAAAACAGTGCATCCTGGATCCAAAACGTGCAGACTAAAATTGCCTCATCTATAGATGCACTTATTTTTAAATATACATTTAGGTGTTCCCCCTCCCCCAAGATTGAATATTTTTTCATTTGACATAGAGAATTTTCAAGAGATGGGAGTGATGAATGCATATCCCTTTGTTTGCCCTCCTTAAGCCCATCCATACAGTAATTAGACTTTGAACCTTTGAGGTAGGTCTACAAAGCTGGGAATTCTGTTCCATTTAAACCCATGGATATTTCATAGCATTTCCATTCTACTAAGTGGTGGCAGATTGTAGTGGATTTTTTTCTTCTATTTCCAGAAATATTTTGCACATTTTCTAGATTTCATCATTTGCACAATTTGCAAATAGTGTTATTTTTTTAAAAAAACTGGGATATTGTACGAGTATGCAAGATTGCACATCTACCTGTTAGTGATATGTTGTCCTACAGCTCCCTCTTATATGTATTGTTTTCAGTTTCATCATCTGTATGCACTACTTCCTTTAGCCCAGCAGAACCATACTTGAAGGACTTGCCCATACCTACTACTTTCTCTTGGGAAGTGTCCAAGTGGATGAAACAATGAAAGGTTGACAAGCATGGAATATGGATCAGTGAGAGAAGGGAAGTAGCATGTGGTGAGACTGAAACTGACAAAGATCTTGATAAGAGGGCAATATTCCTTTGCAGGGCTACGTAGCTACAGGCATGCACTTGCAGAAAATTGCCAGTAAAATATTTTCTTTAAAATGCTATGATACCACTTGTGTAGGTTTCACTGTCTCCTACCCTATAATTGTGCAAATTGTGCAACCATTTCCCCACTGGATTCCATGTATTGGTTCAACTTGCTACAGATTGAGGAAACAGCAGCTGGGGCAGATTAAGTGACATCAGAGGGATACTGAACCAGAAAAATAATTGAGTTTGTACTTCGCCAGTGGAGTTCTCATACATCTGTACTCTGAGGGTATTCCTCCCTTTGAATCTCTGTCTGAAACCAAAGAATGTCAGCACAGGGGTAGGATACACCAATGGCCTGTCTACAGAATGCGTATTAATAAATTCAACAGGAATCCTGTGGCATCTCAGAGACTCAGAGACATTTACTGTGACATATGTTTCCATGGACTGTAGTTAACTAAAGTGGGCTGTAACCCCAAAAATTATACTATAATAAATGTATTAATCTTTAAGGTGCCAAACAGACTATTCTGCTGCCATAGAATAATATAGCTTCTTCTCCGCTTATATTTTAATTGTCTGCTATTTCTTTTGCTGCTTAGTTTCCAGTTTCTTGTTTCATTGCTTTATGATTGTTTATTCAGATGAAAAAAGAGTTTAGTGGCTTACAAGACTTAAAAACAAACAGTTAAGCACTTCCCCTGGGCTCCTGAAGATAGGGGGATTAATAAATTGTCCCTCTTGCTTCTTTAAAGAAGCTTGCCTTCCATTCTGTGAATGCAGGAACAACTAAAAAGCCTTGTCTTTTTCTTTCAGGTATGAGCTGGAGTTGGAAAATAGCACTCACCTTCCCCACAATTATGAGTGTCATCTTCTGTGAGAATTGTTCCTTTCTGTATCTTCAGCATGACCACACCTCCCAACCTTCTGAAGCTAGCACAGCTCTTCTGCTTGTTATGTTGGGAAAAGTTTCACTCAGTCTATTTCTGCTGCAATTCAGAAAACAGAATTTCCGTGAGAGTTTTTTGGGCTATTTTTGTATTTCACTGGCCTTTTTTGACCTGGTACTTCTGGTCACCATGTCTTTTATTTCCTATTTTCAGAACTTTATGCTTTTGGGTGTTCAGTTTACTGAGTATCACATCTGTCTTTTGACTCAGATCATTTCCTTTACCTATGGGATCTTACACTATCCTGTTACTTTTTTGGCTGGCTTGGATTATTACTTTACAATAACTCAGACTTCCAGGCATTTTAATTTGTGTCAGAGACTGCTGTACGCAGGTGCTGTTGTCTTCACGTGGATTTCAGTTCTCTGTTACATTCTGAATTTCCCAGGCCATACCATAGGGCTTGATGTCAACACTTATAATCCTGCATATCAGTGTCCGTTCTACATCAGCAGTCAGAGTTACTGGCTCTCCTTAACTATACTGTGTATCTTATGCCTAGGCCTTATTCTCTGTTGGTCAGAAATTGTGGATATGGTACAATCAATTAAGGTCATTTCCTTTGAGAAGGAGACAGTTTTCTTCTTCCCTTATGTGGCTGAGTACAGTCCTAGAGACTCTGCAAAGCATCTTTTGACAAGACTTCTAATCTGCTTTATGGGCACTTGGGTGCCATTTGTTATCCTTCAAACACTCATTGTATTGCTCAGCGCTCAGATTCCTGCCTACATAGAGATGAATGTTCCCTGGCTTTATTTTGTCAACAGCTTTCTTATTGGAATTTCGTGCTGGGCAAGGCGGCAGCACATTGAACTGCTAGAAGAGCCGTGGGATGTGGATCCATTTGTCACTTGGAAATTCTGCTTTGTCCCTTTCAACTACCAAGGTGCCAATGGAGCCCCAAAGCCAAGTACCAAAATTGTAATATGCTAGTAAGCTACCATTGAAGACTACTGAAAAACTTGTGTTATTTTGTTATGTTTGTGATTTTAACTGAGGGAACTTAGTTTGGTTGCGGGGGGGTGGATTTCATCAGTGCATAATTTTGGCATGTGTGTGGTGGAGTGCTGCACTGTTTTCCCAGATGGCCTCCCAGTACAGGTATTTATTTCAAAATAAAATAATGAAAACTTGTGTTAGTAATTAACTGTGTCTCCTTATAACAAAGAGTGTGATCCAGAATGCAAGAGCCATTGGAGTTTAACTAGATAATTGAACACAAGTGCCAGTGAAATCAGATATGCCTAGTTCAGTACAGCATCTGCCAAATGAGTAACTCAAAGCACTTATCTGAAGGGCGGAAATGAATTACACAAAATGGTAGGAAATGAAACTGAATGAAAATATCACTGGGCACTGTCACTGTTTCTCTGCCCCTCTATGCTTCAGTGGGCCTAGACCAGGCCTTTGCATATCCTCTGCAAGCAAGAAGCATTCACACAGCAGCACCAACTCACATTATTAGAAGACTCTTAGCTTCCTTCTTTTCAATCAAGCACAAAATAACAAAGTAAAATTTCAGCAAGGCTGAAATGTAGCGAGGACAAATTCAAAGCAGCATGCACTAATAAAAAATACAGGGAGTTCTTATGAAAATCCATTTTAGGCTTTGATTCTGTCACTTATGCTTCCTGATGTACGTAATACTTCATTGATGAAGGGGGAACACTGTGATTATTTTGGAAACATGTTTTCACATAACACAGCAGGAAAAAAATAGTGTCTTGCACCTACTGCAAGAGACAACTCCCAAACAATAAGAAGCCGTCCTGAATTTTAGGAAAAAAAATGTTTTCCACTCATGCCCCCACGCCTGTATTTCTTCCACAGGGGAACTTATCCTTACTCCCCAATCCACATACAAAGATTCAAACTACAAATATGTTAATATTAGGTTAGATTTAGGTTTAGTTATGCTTCAAACAGAAGCACTAAATGTATTATAATTAATTTGCCATATTGATTTCAAAACATGATTAACAGGTTCATTTCACTGTGGCGTTTTCGATTTTATTTTATCCTCTGATATACTTTCATTATATATGGATTGAAGATCTCTGCTGGGCTTCAGCCTGGGGTTTAAATTTGAAAACTTTCTCTCATATGTGAAAAAGATAAATAGTCAAAATGGACAAATGGTAATTTTTATTTCTGAAGTGATATATTCACAATGTTAATGCAAAGTTGAAATATAAACCAGGTTGATGGTAACTGTAGGTCAAATATTTAATCCCACAGGAAGCAAATATTACCACATAAAAATGTTCAATTAAAAAATGCAGTGTGCCAATAACAAAAGGTGCAATTACAAGCAGATTGAAGCAGCAATAGTATAAGGTGCTTTGATTCTTCATTTGTATAATCAATTAACAATGGACAGATAATGACTAGTAAACTTTACATCACTACTACAGACCATAACAAATATGAGAATCTAAAATTATCCACATGCTGTTAGTATGAAAGTGCTTTTATATATCAAAAGGATACATATAGATCAATTTTAACTAAATCATGGTGTAGTTTTTTTTAATGTAAAAATGTTTTATCTTCATTGAGAAAGGATTTTTTTAATTTTCACTGGAAACAATCCAACTGCCAAATTGATGCATTATATGTTAAAACCACTTGTTCAGGAAAAGCCACGTACCATTCCATGATACAAACACAGACGTACATAGATATCTTGATAGATAAATCTTACACTAGTTTATATGCAAATAGACTCAAAGTTCAGTTGTCTGTTTTCTTGCACAGATCTGCTCCTTCCTAACATAATTCAGCTCTCGGTATTCTTTTTCATAGATACTAGAGAAGAAGTGCGAAAATGACCCAGGATAAATACAAAACTTGAGTGTTGCAGAACATGCTGGAGATGTTTTACTCAGAAGCAAATGTGTATATATGGTTAAATACTGGCCATGTTTGCATGATGCACTAAGCCACCTTGTGAATGCACTGCACCGTGGCCACATTTGTACCTCATACTAAACCACCAAGTGAATAAGTAGCACTACATGGGTTATTCATGGAATAACCCACAGTGCAACTGAAAGAGGACCAGCACTGAGGCCCGGTCCTCCCACCTCACGCCCCCTACTCCCTAGCTGGTATCCCAGTGGCCTTCTCTGCAGAATCTGTCTCGTCACTTCATCCTCACTCCAATTATTATCCCTTTTTGTTTGCTACCATTACCCCCCCACCCCCCAAGCCTGAAAAACAAAATAGGGTTTTTTATTATTTTGGCTCCAGAAAATTGTGCCGTTGTGTTTAAAATTATTGTTTTCCAGTACAGGAAGTTTTGCTTAGTCAATTTCCTTGACAGTTTCAGCTGTCGAAGGAGCAGCAAAGCACAGTCAGAAGCAGAGTGATAAGGTGAGACTACATATACTTCGTTCACAAGTGCCAGGGACTGATTCTCTTAAGTGTCAACTGAAGAGCACCAGCAAAGGGGGGAAAGCAGCAAAAGGAGGAACACCATAAGGGATGGAACAAGATCTCCCCCTTGCCTGTGTGATCCTCCTGGTTTCAAAAGCTGAACTGGCTCTTCTAAATACCCCTTATCTTTTCAATCCGTCCTAAGTCTCCAGCTACTCCAGAAAGGAGTTATTGGTGTCCCCGCTCACCTTTCACAGCTCATTTTTGGAGTATTTACTGCTTCAATTCCCTACTAGCTATGCTCCACATAAAAATAGACAAAATTAATTTGGATAATTTGTTCATTTAAGGACTGGGAAGTAAATAGAAGGGAGATTTGTGCACATACAGTAACACAGCAGTTAATACAGGTGCACATTCCATCCTCCATTTACTTCCCTGCTATTAAATGTGGACATAATGCCAGTCCAAAAAACTTAAAAATTTAAAGATAGCAGAATGGGACAGAGAAAATGGGGCACCAGCAGTACATACACCTGTCACCCACGCTATCCCATTTAGCAACCTTCTCAGGGGTCTGCTTGCTTGCTTGCTTGCTTTTAGGAACTGCAGCAAGTGCTCCTGGAAATTCAGGAAGTATTGAAAAGGTGGAGGGCACTCAGAAGACACAGTTCAGCACTTAACACTGAACACTGCTAACGGAGAGTTATTGTTATCCCCACTTTTTGGTGCCCTTTCTTTTGCAGCTTTTCTTCCTTTTAACAGTGGTTTTCAGTAACAATTTGGCATTTTATCCTTGATAACTGTGATGAAACTAGCATGTTTTAGCACTGTAGTGTCATGTATGTTACCTATTCCAATTTGCTGCTCCCTTTGACAGCTGAAACTTTTAAGAAAACCTACCAGGTATGACTGCACATGATGGAGAGCCATAAGACTTTATGCACTTGCAAACATCTGACCAAAGAAGAGACCCTTTATGTGCTTAAATATCAGTTTCAAAAATTAGTGCAAAAGAAGAGGCAATCAAAGTTAAGACCATGGTGTGTCACCACTGCTGCAACATCATCCCGTCTGCTGGTTCTTATAACTTGGAAACATTTCATTAGAAGTGAATAGGCTAAGAGAAATATAAAATATCCATTATACAGAATCAAAGAGAATATGCTTGTTAGAAATGTTTAAGGCTACAGGGCCAGTTTTACCCTTTTTTCATTTTGCAGAACACATTTTTGATAACCTATATCACTAGGCACCCTTTAAAAGGGCTTGCTAACATATTTACCAACTCAACCATTTCATGAAAAGTCATATTACAAAGGTATTCTAGCATCAGGTATTTAAGGATTGTAAATGGAAGTGTTTCCTAATACAAATAACACTTCTGCTTGATTTATTCCAACAGCACCAATTCCAGAATCTCTTGTTAAAGTTTCACCTCTAGTTTTAAAACATTAGCTTGGATGTAACTAAACCTGGTTTAAGAAATCAGAGTTACAATTTAGTAACAATTTATTAAGATGAAAATAAACATTGAGCCCCAATGTCACTTTCTCCTCTCTTGTGCACCAACTTTGGTGCTTTGATCCTAGTTTTTTAAAACCACAATTTCCTGTTATTTCCAACACAGAGGCCAGCAGATTAACATCATGTTAACAACAAAAATGTCACATAAAACTACAGAAAAAATGAGCTGGGTAAATTGGCTATGGCCACTTAGGGAACAATTCACAAAATACTTTTATGGGCTTGTTCTAAGATGCCACATCTTAGCAAGAAGTGTGATTTACCATTTTAATTGTTAGGATGCAACAAGTTCTAGACCAAAGGTACAATGCTGATTCCTGTGCTACATGCAGCTTGCTTTTGTCATTTGTTGTAATAGACAAGTTCCAGGAATACACAGAGGACATTCTCCAGCCATCCCCAATAGTCTCAATTCGTTCCCCCCCCCCACCCCCCTCCGCCTTTACTGGAATATTTGCTGCAACATAAAGTGTTTTTCCTGGTCAGTAATACACTTAGATTTCACTGACAACCACTAATAACACTCAGAAACAGCACATTTTAGAGGATGATTTAATGTGAAAATTTACAAAAAGGAATTTCATGCAAATGTTCTAGGAAGAATATGTCAGGTTTGCATTTCAGGAGAAAAAATCCCTAAAAGTTCTCTTCAAAGAGATAAAAGTTATGGTGAAAGGTGACAGCAAATGCTGAATAATACTGAGCTTTTAATGTAGCCAGGGAGCTGTAATATGACAGATTGAGTCTATGGTCCTGTTTGTGAAGAGGAGAGATGTAAACTGATCTCCATCATGGCCAATTGCAGAATGTATGCATGTTGCCAGAACCCCACTGGTAATGCTTTAACCCATGGTAAGAACATGCTATTTAGGCTTTCAACATAACAGAAAACAGTGGTCCTAACAGAGACCGACATGTGATTATATCCCTCACATAACCATTCCCTCAAGATGTCAGCACATGACTAATGCCAGCTTTGAGTTCCTGAATGTCATGACTGCCCAACATGAGCCCGTAAAATTACTGGAATGTTCTAACTTTCATTTGCTGAATTTATGACTTGGAGACCATGCCGATAAATCCTCAGATTTGAGGATATGTCTACATAACAAGTATTTAGAACTGGCTATGTGCAGAGCAGTGGAGAAAGCACATACACAATGTTATCCTGCAGTTTGCCCATGACAGAAATAGACCCTTAGAAGCTAGCGAACGTTAGGGACACTTCCGCAACGTGACTCAGGTACCCAGCTGAGTATTAAAGAAACATTATTTCAGTGGCACTTACTCTGGTTCACACCCTTCAGCTTGTTTTAAATACAAGAAACAAATAGGCAGCTGGTATATAAAGCCACATTTTTCTTTTCAAGACCACATTTCCATATATACATGCTGTCTCTGGATTTGTATTTACATAATATATTTTTGAAAGCAACCATTTCCATTGCCAAGTCTCTACTGCTATTCACAGAAAACCGTCAAACACCACCATGAGCTACTGAACTGTACATAGTACTGAGGAGACTGATTGCCATCCTGTATCAGACTGCTTTTGATTTTCCTTACTGTCTGCAGCTTGGCACACAGAAGAGAGCCACCTAGTATGAGAGCAAAGCTTAACAGATGAAGCAGTTTTTTGAGGGAGCAGGTGCAAATCAGAACAGAGTGTCTGAAACTCCTACAGTAAATATACCTATCCCCGTGTTGATGCTCGCTTGTCAGTAAGGCAGATCTGAGGCATTATCAGGTCTGGCCCAGATGGCACAGTCTGAATGACAAACTGCCTAGAATAGGAGTGCAAGTTCCCACATGATGGTACATTCTGCCCCATCCCAGTGCTGTTTCAGTCATTTAAAGCAAGTGACTTGGGAACTGAAACCAGCAGAGGAGCCAAGGAGGAAGCGAGGGTGTAAACGAAGACAAGTTTATTTGCATTTTATCTAGGATGCAATTTTAAAATACTCAGTTATAGGCCTCTCTAAACTGTATTCAGGTGTTGGCGTGCTAACAACTGGTTCTCACATGCCTAGTGAGAACCAAAGAGCTTGGCTGTCATACTGCCTCAGGCCATGGCATCATCGATCGCAGTGGGACTGTGGCTGCACTCAAGGCAACACTGATTACATGTGGGGACACTTCTCATTTTACATCTTGTGCTTTGCTAGCTCTACTTAGGTACAAAATGTAAAGGCTCTGAAATAATACCCCCCCAACCCCTTGCCCCCCACGCCAACATGGAAAAATGCCAGCAAGAGCTTTCTTTCCCTGTTCAGTGTACTTGCATAAACACTGGAGTTCACTTTTAATCAGACTTGTGCAATTACTCTGTGCACTGCCTAATTGCTATGAGCAGCACCAAAGCAAATTTCGGTGAAAGTGCCATTAACTACTGGGCAGGAAGGAAGCTCAATGCCATGGAGTCCAGGAGGGAGCAACATGCAGTTCTCAGCTGCAACACCGCTCTACCCCCAAGATTAGGGGAGTGTAAAAAAATGATCTACTGGAAAGCAAAATGGCACCCAAAAATACTACTGAGTGCCAACAGTGTTGAGTTAGTTTAAAGCTAATTTTGACCCTTTGGAGCCTCTGTAGCAGCTCCAAGTGCCATTTTGGCACCCATGGGTGTGTGGTGTGTCCTGTGGAGAGCTGGGGGGCAAAATGGCCTCTGGACCTCCCCAAGTCACCCATACAGATGCAGTCCGGCATCCTGTTCTAAGAAAGGATACTATACCGATATGCAGCAGACATCTTCTCCCTTTTAAATTAAGCATCTTAATGAATAAAAACTCACTGCATCCTTGTGGTCTTAGATAATACTCAGATGCACATGGAACTAATTATTTAGCCAGGCTGGCACTAAGTGTACCATTGTGTTAATGTTTGTAGTAGCAAATGTAAACATATTTAACTTCATACTGCCAGGCAATGAAAGCCACATCTATTTTGTCTCTTGTTCATGCTGCTTTTCCAATGAAGTGCACCTTCTATTCCAGCAAAGGAACATCACACTGGGGGACTTTTTTGCACCCAACAGTGGAGTTACTGTCTTCCAGGTGAGGGGGAGGGAAAGGATGTGCTCTTTCTCCCTCATGAAGCCTAACTTTACTGCCCAAGGAGAGGCCAGCTGTACTGGGGACAGCAGGCACTGCCCTTTGGCTAACCCAAACTGTCTTTACATTGGGGAAAACTCCTCCCCTCTTCATGGAGCTCACTCTTAGTCTATCTTCCCACTTTATTTGATCCATTGTGGTGGCAGCCTGGCAATGGCACAAAATGCTTCTGCACAGATGGGGAGGAGGAGGCAATACAGGTTCATTCAGCAAGCCTCACACAATACAAGCCTGCCTTGTTCCTATGTTTGGTTCTGAAATCACCAAATGAGAGGGGAAAGAAATATATCAATCCAACAGGCTCCATGTATAAAAGTTAGAAAAGTCTGGTTCTTGGAGCAGCTTTGCAGTCTCATATATACCATTTGTCAAACTAGTCTCTTAAGGGAAAAAGATGAAAAATATTTTTCTGGTCAGGGCATTGCCATTTGTGCTTCTGCTCTTACTCTTTATCATCAGAGATGAAATACCCTGAAACACTGCATAAGAATAATACCATAATCCACTTCAGGAAATCACTGTGAACCTATACATTGTGCAGCTGATGAAAGATAAGCATCTAAATTATACCAAATGCATGGTTATTACTCTGAGTATGATGTTATGCCCCATTTGTATTTACAGAAGATGGACTATTGTTCCAGTTCCAAGATGCTTAAAGAAGAGACAATTCAAGAAAAATCATTTTCAAAACAAACGTAGCCTGGTGCACAACTCAATTAAATTGAAATATCTTGCTTTAGATTACTTACAGCCCAATACATGTCACTTTGAAGTGAACGGGACTGAAGTAAATTCCATAAAGATAGTCCTGAACAAATTATTTCTATCCATCCTTGAAAATGACAAAAATGTACCCTTAATTTCTAAGCCCACCAGTTCTGCTTTCACAAAGACTTGTGAAGGTAGTTTTTATTTTCAATTAGCTGCTAACCAGTAATTGTTAGACTAAGAACTAATCCATACAATTTGGCTGCAACTATGCCCATTTTCCATTCTATAGAATAATCCATCCAAAGTTGGAGAATGACATAATACTTTGCAACCCTTGAATTTTTACAAACTTCCCTCACTTGCAAATGTTTGGTGGCTCTCCTTAAGTCCATAAGTAACTGGATTACTTTGAGTTTCTGATGACCTTCAACAAGTTACTGTTAATAATTAACTACAACTGCTAGAAACACCTTACTAAAAGCATCCCAAAATCTGAGACTAAAATTAGCAGAGAATCAGGAAGTGTTAAGTGCTTTTAAGTGCAAAACCCCCTTCACCAGGTCAGGAAGTCATGAACCATTTTGAGAGCTTCTCTGGTCTCCGCTCAAAGCAAAAAAAAGTAACCCTTTGGTGATGGAAGGTACCCATCAGCAGAATGGAGGTGAAACTATTTTCAGCTAGTCTCCCTCACCCCTATAGCCCCCATGTCTGTTCCCACAGCAAACTGAATTACAGAAAAACATCCCCCTGTCCATTCTGCTAACTTATGCTTTCCATCAGCAAAGACACTGGCTGAGTACCACTCACAGCATGTAAAATTTCATTAGCTGTCTGGTAAATCATTTCCATAATTTATTTCTGGTAAATAGACCTATTTTAGGAAATATATATTATTACTAAAACCTACATATGCCTGTAATGAACCCAGAAATGCCTTTCAGCGACATTGTGCTCATACTCTAAAGAGCATTTCCTTTTGTGCAAATTCCACGGCAATGAAGAGAATTTTCATGATATGTGAAACTCTCATTCATCTCAGTGGGCCTTGCTCAAGAGAAGTTCTCAATGATCTGAGCCCCATTTCCTTTAAACATGTTAACTGAATGGGATCTTTTGGAATATCATGCAAAATATTAAAAAGATACAGAGGATAAACATCTGAATACTTATTCTTAATACTTTGGTGCCACTGGGGCAGGAATCTTCACTGTAAGATTGCAAGTGACACCGTGGCATGAGAAAATGTTCGAGCTGAAACCACTGCAATTTCAAAAAGTGCTTATTCCAAATGGAGAGGGAAGAAAAACATCTTTAGCAGCATCCAGCAGAATTCCTGCTGGGGAAAACAAAGAAAGAAAGAGAAAAGAGAAAGCAAAGAAGTCCAGAAATATCTGCTAATCCCATCTGCCTGTCAGAGCTATTTAATAACGAGGAGCCACACACCAGCACATGGATAACAATGGGTTCCCATTCAGCTAGTGAGTGGACAGGTGTGCATTAACTCCTTTGGTCTATGTTAACTAGCAGCAAGAAAAACTAGGATAATAGCATAATGCCCTCTTCAGTGTATAGCAGCATACAAAGAATTGACATAACGTATGTGCTTCTTTTGTACTTTCCAGGAAGGGTGACGTGCCATTTCAGCTCTCAGCAGCTTTACCACTATATGCATCAGGCTTTCTGTACAAGCTCATTTAACAAGAATACCTCCCCAATCCCTAGTTTAAAAAAAAACATTCATAGATTTTCTTATGCTGATAAGTACATGTGGAATTCAAGTGACCAAGATTCTGATAGTAGAAGGTTTGCTGCATTCACAGAGTATCTCTCATGTTTACAGAAAAGCATTTGCACTTGAAGAAAATACTGCAGTAGTGGGTGAGCCATAGCATTAGGAGAGAAGAGTTCCTTCAGGATTAATTGAAACTCAAGAGCACAATTAAATGCATAGCATTTTACCCTAATCAATGCTCCCACAGACTCTGTGGGCTCTTCTGTTAATCTGTATTCTTAAAAAGCTTTCTACAAAGGAAAAAAAGTGTATAGAAACACAATGAAAAACTGTAATCAAGGCTATATTTTAAAAAAAGTTTAAATCTTGTATGGTAAATAATTGCCTTTTTGGAATAAGCATCACCCACAACATATTACAAACATGTCATAGAGCTTTTCACTGACTTTACCTCGTCCTGCATTTGACTACAATGATCTGCCAACATAGCTTATGCTTCCTGAGAAGCTGGATAACTACTGGAAGGCTTGGAGGATCACATTACACATGCTCCTCCAAAAGTCTTCATGTGGAAAAAAGATACTTAGCAAAACACAGCAGTAATAACCACATCAAACAGTAAGATGCTGGCTTATTACAGGTCTGTATCTGTTGAAAGCTTGGTTTAAAGCCTTAGTTTTCCACTAAGATTCCTTCAAGGAGTTGATCCGTGCACATATCTTCAATGCAGGTCCTAGCTTAATATTCATTGCACTCATGAGATGATCCTCTTTCAGTAAGAGAAGAGCCTGCCCGTCAATCTCCTGGGCTCGAAATTCATCAGCTATATCTTGACAACCTGCAAGGAAATAATAGTACCTTAAATATAAAAATTGGGATTATTTTCATGCCTAGCTTAATTATTTCCATTGATTTCCCTGTACACATGGAAGAATCTATCTCTGCAAATACTATATATTGGCACATTCTGCACATACATAATAGCAAGAGGAAAACCAGTAGCAAGGTTAAGGCAAGAATGCAGATCAATGCAGGAAGAAAGCAGGACCTTTAATAGCCCAAACTGAGTCTTATCCCTTGGAACTCTCCCCTATTAAGACAACAAAATGTTTTCTCAGCAGGGAGCTAAAGCCTATTCAAGCCCTACATAGCCTGACAGTCCCACCACTCCTGCCAGCACTAACTGGATTGGCAAAAGGTCCTCATCCACTTTTGTACACTGAGGCTTTGGTGAGGCCGGGGAAGTGAACATTCTGCCAGGGACTCATCCTGTAAGCCAAAGAACAACAGCAATGGTGGCCGGTCAGGAAGGCCCTAAATAAGGCACGAATTGTCCTGCATGCCAGTAAATGGCCCGTGTCTTGTCTGCTGCACACTGGAAGACCTGCGCTCGCATGTGTGATGCTGGGGGCCTGAATAGGCTAGAGATGCAATGGAACAAGACGTGCAAAGAATGCACAGTTCCTTTCCCATCACAGAACTGTCACACCAGAAACAGCCCTTGGATGACAGCTTGCTCTCATGCTCTGCTGCACAGAGCAGGAGATAAAAGGACTGCCTTGTCCTCTGGCTCTGGTGATGCGCCTTAGCCCTGCCTCTTTTGCAGGAGCAGCAATATATGCTCAGCACAGCTGTATTGGTGCCCTGAAAAAGATCCTGAATAGTTGTACCATGTGGGACTTCCCGAGAATGCAGGAAAGTGCTTTTTTAGTGTGAGGGGCTTGCCATACTCACCAGACTAGACTGGAAAAGCAGATGAACCCTTAACTCCAAAGTGGAGCAGAAAAAAACATACTGTACAAACCAGGCACATAAACAAAACTTAAATGTACTCAGAATGCATCCCAAACTGTGCACGAAGGAGAGGAGATAACAGAAATGCAAATATCACCAAGGCATTCTCTCCCACCATCACATGGTGCTAACATGACCTGAAGTCCCTTTCAAGACCAAGTCTGGATACAGGTAGAGAAATGCCCCCGCAGGAGGCTCAGAGGACAAAAATTCATAGAAAGGAATTTTCCAGTTTCTCCTGAGTCCCCAGCATGGCAATAATAATCTTCAGGCCTTGCCAGACAGAGCTGCTTCTCTCATACATCGGAGGAAAATCCCTGCTTCAGGTGGGGTGGATCACAAGGAGTGGTGGATTCAGCTTCCTGCCCTTGTCCTCCCATCCACCATCATTGCATTGTGCTTACAGGACACTAAGCTTCCTGCTGGTGCTGGTGCTGCTGCTCCAGACTGATCCTTTGTGCTTTGCTGCCAGTCCTTCACTTCCCCTCACCAGTGCCACTTACATGCTAATGCATGGCAGCTCAAGGTGGCCCCTCCCTGAAGAAGCAGCTTGGGGCCATCACAAGGAAGGCATGATCCGAAAGGTGATGAGTGTGATCACATAACTTGGCAGTACCCCCAAAATAAGGAGAGAAAGTTAAATCAAACAATCTCAAAGTGTTCCGTACACTGACTCAGCAAGGACAATATGGAAATAAACAAGTAAAAAAAAAACGGCAAAGGTTTCCCCTTGACCAGGGGTCAGCAATCTGCGGCTCTGGAGCCGCATGTGGCTCTTTCATCCCTCTGATGTGGCTCCCTGTCGCTCAAAATATGCGTCACAACCACCAATGTGAGACACCTGCCGGCATGCAATTTATTCAGCTTTTCAACCCCTGGTAGACCAACCATGGATAAATCCAAGAAAAGAAAAGTTTCAGAAGAAAACAGGATGTTTAATGGTATGTGGGGAGATTCATTTGCTTTTACTGCTGATGAGACTGGTTTACCAGTCTGGTTTGTTTTTTTTAAGATAAAAAACGATAAATGTAGTGTTATCTTCATTTTAGATGTCAAAAGAGTTTTGTGGCTCCCGGTGTTTTCTTTTCTATGGGAAACGGGTCCAAATGGCTCTTTGAGTGTTTAAGGTTGCCGACCCCTGCCCTTGACGTTAAGTCCAGTCATGTCTGACTCTAGGGGACCAGTGCTCATCTCCGTTTCCCAGCCAAGGGAGCCAGCGTTTGTCTGCAGGACAGCTTCCATGGTCATGTGGCCGGCATGACTAAACACCCAAGTGCACGGAACGCTGTTACCTGCCCACCGAAGTGGTACCTTTTTATCTACTTGCATTTGCATGCTTTCAAACTGCAAGGTTGGCAGGAGCTGGGACAGAGCAACGGGAACTCACCCCGTTGTGCAGATTCGAACCAGCGACCTTTCAATCAACCAGCCCAGCAACACAGCAGTTTAAACCACTGCTCAACATTAATCTGTTTCTTTGTAACTAAAAGCAGTTTGCATTTGACCTGCCCTAACTTCTCCCCTTTCAACATAACAGCGTTGCACTGAAACTGAATTCACATAAATAAATGTATTCCAGTGTCTTACCAGGCAAAGAGCGTATGAAAGCCCAAACATCTTCAACAGTCCATATCGATGGATCAGATTGCACAGATGGCAGCAAATCCAGGTTGTCTGTTGTTTTCCTAATTCTCAATTCCCTAAGCTCACGCTCTCTTTCCCTTTCACTTTGCCTTCTCAGGCGAGTGGTCATGGCAACTGGCACATTGTCTTCCTGAGAAGCCAAGTCTTCTTCTGCAGATGGATAAGTAATTGGAAGCTGGAAAATGCAGTACAGACAAACCACAGTATAACCATTTTCCTTTATAACTCTTGCAAAAGGACACCATGGAGTTCAGGTAGCATTTTACAGACCTGTCTAAGGAAGTGTTCCCTTGGAGGGCCATCAGAGCCACTTGGCCGTCGCCCACGTCGCCCAAAGCTCTGACTATCTGAGCTCCGGCTCCAACGGCTGTTCTTGTCTGATGCATATAATCCAAATTTCTTACTGCAACTTACATTGTACCTAATGGTTAAAAAAGTTTAAATTTTGTCTCAAAAAAAGAAAATATCAGAAGTCTGTAAGGCCTGCTAAAAATAAGAATAGAGGAGCCTTTGGCCTTTCGTTTCCGCATGGAAGAGAAGCAGCATATAAATGGAACATGACATATTTATCAAATTTCATTAACAAATAGTTTAAGTGAAACATATCTGTTAAGTATACAGAATTAACTACATATATACATATACATAATTTGAAGAACTCATATCCAGTTGAAAATATTTTATCCTATCTAAATGATTAAATTTACATGAATGTACAAATTGTAAGATCTTAATGAAGGTATTCTTCAAGGTTGCTGAATTAAGATTATTCTATTCTATGAGAACAAAAATAAAACCACCAATTATTAGCCAGGATCCAAAGAACTGAGAACCTAGTTCTATATTCCCAAGGAAGTTATTCGATTTGTTTTCTTCTACCAATAGCAACCCATGTCAAATGGCAAATTGTTTTTGAAATAGAGGGGAGTTTCAGAAACAATCTGTGATATTGGGGATAAGTTAGTTATTTGTAGCTTCTTCACAATACATTTTCTTAGTTTTAACTTTTTGTAGAAGATGGGGGTAATTTTATACATTTTTCTCCTGTTCATAATTTGCTATGTTATTATGTTGCTTTAAACTTTTACAATCACTTTAAAGTTTTAAATGGTAAATTGCCTTGCGGGGAGGTCAAACAATTGTACAGAATAATTAAATTTTTAAAAAATTCACAGGCAAAAAACCTTCTTTTAAAGTGCTAATGAACCTGGGGAATCTCATTACTTCTTTCTTTCAGGTAAAGATGCTACTCTGTCCTAAAAGATAGTAACTTGTTGGTTATCTAGTTTTTAAAAAAAAATCTAATGAAAAAACACTTTAATCAATCATACTGATAAACAGAAACTGCAAGCTGTGATTTACAACATTAAGCAGAAAGAATTACGTTAGGGGCCCCATCAATCTATTTGGTCCATATAATTTTGACCCCAGGTACTGTATACTAGAAAAGAGCAGGATGTAGAAACTTTACAAACTTTGATGCAGAATACCTCTTGGCACAGGACATGGAGCAGAACCGCTTCGACCGCAGAAACTTGTTCGCGTACCCCATTTTCCCACAGAACTCACACTTAAGGAGATCAGTTTCCATCTCATCCAGTCCCTCTAAAGGAAACAACAATGTAAATTCAGTCAGTTAGAACCACCCCATTACCATAACTTGTTATTTTCCCAGTCTACAATGGAGCAACAATGGAACCAATGACTTAGGGTGGTTCTGGGCTCTCTCACACTAAAGTTATTCAAGATGCACTGGACAGCCATCTGAGAAGGATGGTTTAACCTGGAGTCCTGCGTGAAGCAAGGAGTTGAACCCAATGGCATTATTGGCCCCTTTCAACTCTACCATTCTATGATTTTATTTTGCACCTTCACTGTGTTGCTTTTCTTGTGTACACCAAGTGATAAAAATGCAATTAATTGATTTCAATATCAGGTTGTAACACAACATGTGAAAAGTCAGAAAGTATGAATACTACTACATCACATTATACATTCATGAAAAATTACATTAACTCAATTTTGTCAAGCTTCTCTTGTTGAATGGTTTGTAATTGTTCATTTTAAGAATTTTGAAGCCTAAGTTTGCTTCCCCTCCACCTTTATTTCTTCCTTCTAATTCCTTTTCCTTTTGTGCTCTGCCTTTCAGATTTTAATTATGAGAGCAGAAACTTTCTGCTGATTGGCTTATTGATTTTTGTAACCCAATCTGGAATCCCTTTTTGAGTAACAACTGGAGCAAAAAGCTTAGAACAAAGAAACAAACAGAGTTTAAAACATCTTATTATCAAGCAAAGGGAATTTTGAGGCTTTTGATAGTTTTTGCAAAATACAGGCGTTCAATGCTGACACAACCTACAGCTTTTTCACGGTGTGAAAGCTGAACACAAGTCTAAAAAATTAATCCCTTCTGCACAGAAAACATATGAAAACTTTGCAGCTGTGTTCTGGTATGTTTCTTATGTAAGGTAAAAGCTGTTGAGGAGCTATACCTTTTGTTGGTTCGGTGAAATTCTGCGAGCAGTTTAAAAATTATCATGGTGGGGTGTTGCCATGAAGCTTATGGCAGTAACTGCTGCCAAAGTAGTGTTGGGCATGCTCAGTTTTAATCTAAAGCTCAAATGCTGCTTGCCGCAAATACCCCAGTGTTTTGAGAGTACTGAGAGGAATTCCATCAAGGTCCTAACAGTGGGGGAAGGGTAGCGGGAAACAGTCTGCTCAGACACGTGTGAGATAATTTTGAAGGATCAGAAATCACTGCCTGACTGATCACTAATGAAGTGAAGAAGGAAAAGGAAAAAGCTCTGCTGGAATCCTTCACAGGCTCATAAAAAGTAAACTATTCTGAACATAAAGGAGCGTATCTATTCATTTATACACGTCTATTCAACTAATGCCTTCTTTTAGATTGTGCTTTTGTTTTTTTCAGAATGCTGCAATAACGAATTTTTTATCTGAAAAACAGCAAAATTCAATGATAAAAGTATTTATTCTTTTAAGACAACAGTCAAAGCTTTCTTATAATGGTTCAAGCTCCACAATGCTAGACAGTAGAATTCCTAGGCTGATACCTTAAGAGAAAAGGCCTAAGGTTGTACAATCTCACAGACTGTACTAGCTTCCAAGGAACAGGCATGAGCCAACTCACAAGAAAACTCCTGCAGCAACACAGTAAGGTTTGGTTGCTTCCTATAGCAACATAGGGCCAGGATGTGTGGGCATCTTTGCTGATCCCAGGCATTTCATGCTCCTTATTTGGATTTGGGCCTGAAAGACCCAGGAAAAGTGTAGATGCATGGAGGGTAAGTTGTAAAGAAGCATGATCTGTCAAACTGCACAACAGCATTTCTCATGGTAGGGCTTGTCTGTTGCTTTTTGGAGCTTGAGCCAACATGAGATAACCTTATTTCTGGTCTTCAACCGCTAGTTTTTTAACCATTGAATTTTACACAAGGCAACTGAATGTTCCTTAGCATGCAACTGCCTGATCTAGCAAGGGAGATCCACACATTCAGCTGGTGCAAATGTGTCTTCACATGCAGTCATCACAGAATGTTATGGATGTGGACAGGGAAGCACATTGCCAGCCAGAAGCTACAGTTGGATCCTTTCTAAAGTGTTTTCTTAAAGATTCAGCATTCATACTAAACAGATGGCAGTAACTGACAGCTATAGGGAAACTTTACTGTATCTGAACTCTTAGGAAATAGCTTTCTGGTGGAAAAAAGAGGCTCAAATTTCATAACATGGGGAAGCAGAGAAAAAGTTGTTCAATATATATTAAGATGCACAAACCTTCTGTAATCATGTCCTCCAGTTCTGTATCTGAGGAGTTGTCTGCATGTTTTGAATTGTTTTGTAGCTCAGGCTCAACACACATAACATTCATCACCTGGCCTTCCATTAGGAGCCTCTTTTTTGCAGGCTGCTCAACCAGAAGGGATGAACAACTTACCTGTTACAAGACAAAGATCAAATCACGACACAAGAAAATAATACATGCTGTTTCTACATGCAGCCTTGCACACTACAAGGGACAGCATGCATTCCTTAGTCTGTCAGTGCCATGAAGTTGACATAGAACAGAATAGGTACACACAACAATACTGGCTTCAGTCTTTCACTGTCTACTGCCTGTGTTAGACCTGATATATCAAGAGAAACAGATGAGATGAAGATGGAGGAGTAACAAGAGAAGGAGCAAGCAATCTACTTTGCATTTGCCAGTCATTCTTGTTTATTTCAGACTTCCATTTGAGACCTTGACATTTCATGGGGAAAATATCAAAAGAGGATACCACAGGAAAAAAGTTAAGAATCACTGCTTGAACAAAGGAAATTCCCCACACTCTTACAAAAGACTGGTTATTTTCTGCTGTCTACTTTTCATCCTTGATACCATACACAGCACAGGAAATAAAACAGACAAAAAAGTCTGTCTGCTCTGTATAGTACTCTTGGATAATGAACCATATATCTTTTAAACATACATACATTCTGAAAAATATTTTTTCTATGGCATCTTTGGAGATTCATTATTGTTTCTTCTCTGAAGTAAACATCAGTTGTATTTGACAGCTGACTTCAACATCAGGCTGATATTTAATGAAAGAACTGCCCATTTAGGCCCAGCCTATCTAAGAGTGGATGATTCCCTTCAAAGAGTATGGCAATAAAGAAGTGCTACTTTCTACTTCTATGCCAACTTCTTTGCTCAGGGCATAACATTTAATGGTAGAATGTGATCTTCATTTTTAATGTTCAGTGCAGCTTTCAAAGGAAGGTCACCAAGTGATGCCACTGTTGAACATCTTGCTGCTGCTGTGCTAGATTCTCTTGAAAGTGCACAAGTATTTAAGGGATTTGCAAAACAATGTGAAAAAGACTAGTTTGACTTTTCCCTAGCATGAATCTATTTTAATCATACATTTTTGTGACTTTTTCAGAAAAAGCAATAAATCCAAACTATTAAACAGCAATTCCATTGGCTTCAGTGGGATAGTTTCTAATGAACTGCTTGATGGACAGGAGTTACTAGCAACAAGCTCAGTTGGGTTAGACACTGGAAGGAATGAGCATGTGGGCCCTAGAAACTGACTGTGGGCCCACAGGAAAGTTGGATTCACAGCTTTGACCTCAGAGCTGGGAACAGAAGCGCCAATCCCCTTGCAGGCAGTGCAGAAAGAATTGTGTCAGCTGCTCTCTGAAGTTGGACAACAGCCATGAAAAGAAGTTGAAGGGAGAGGGGAGGGGACTGCAGCAACCAGCATATGAGGCATCCCAAAGCTTTTGCGAGAGATGCTTTTGCGAGACAGCCAAAATTGCCCATCTAATGAAAATAGAGATGGGGACAATGGGGAAGCAAAGATCTGTTGCTCTTCCCTCTTTGTACTGGATGAATATGAGCCTCTGAATTTTGAGGCTTGGCCTTCCTCAATAGGACTGTACCTTTAGTTAAGCAACAATCCCAAATAACCACAACACACTGCCTTTTTAAAGAAAAGTATCATATCTATGGCTGAACGTCACATTTTTACACTTACAGGAAATGGTTCTAACCCTTCTTGGATCACAAAGCCCTCAATAACATGGGTCAGGATCTGTGGTTTAACGATAGCCTGAGGAAGCTTGTTGTCTATGCTGGGATTCCTGTTAGACAGTGATGTGCTGCTACTTCTTGTGGCAACTGCTGGTAGCAAAAGAGGTGGCTGTGGAATAGAGGCATGTGAAGGGTCGGATGGTGATCTAATTACAGAAGCACTGACTGAAGAGGCCACTGAAGAATGTCCTTCTTGCTCTGGAAAAAAGTATTTAAAAATAATTCAGGCTCAAAAGTCTTCAGTTATAGAAAGAATCATTTTCATTTGTGATTTTGCTGTTATAAATTTTCTTGCTAATACATTTTATCAACTGACAAATTGATAACATTTTATCATCTTGATAAATTTTATCAAGCTAACTGAAACTTGGTCCACTGCCCTCTTATGCTTAGTTAAAAGACCGTCAGCATTCACATGTGTATTATCAGGGCAGAAATTGCATCATACAGTTTTAAACTGCATCATGTGTAATGTTATATTTAATTTGAGCAGAATCATGGCTTCACTGACATGGAAGTGAATCCCTGATATCTTGCCCAATGCACTTTTTCAAGCTTATTAAATATTGTTACCTTAAATGAAACACACCCCTTTCATCTGTTTTAATAAATAGAAAATAAATTATACATCCTAATTTGTAAGGAAACTAGGGAAAAGCTGCAATTTCACCCTTATCTACATCTCCATCCCCCATATATCACTTTTAATCAACGAGTCATTCAGTGGTATCTAGCCTAATATTCTGCCTTTGACAGCAGCTGTTTCTGAAAGTTTTTGAACAAGACCAGTGCTCCACTGCTAGCTTTGCACGACCAGTCCTTGCTCATCCAAGGACGGCCTAAGCAGAATGATCCAGTGCTCTAGTTTGATAGTTCTAGCTTTGATATTCTTGTCCTGTGTTAAGAGGCTAACAGAATTTATCATTTACTGTGAAGTGTGCTTTTGTGACGTTTTCATGTCTCAAATGAAAACCAATCAAAGAAATGTGTATGTACATATAAATACATGAACTGTAATATTGGTCACCAAACCAAATTAATCTGTGGCCAAGGATGAGAACTGGAATGCAATGTGAAGTGTGTGGGTTAAAATGTAATGAGAACGGAGGCACACCTAGGGCCATGATGTAATATAAGATAGCTGGCTATGAACAACTGGCTCACAGATATTATGAACTGTGTGTCTCTACAAATGTGCATTTCTAGAGTTTAGAAAAGATGACTTTTGCTCATACTTGCATTTGACCCAGCAGCTAAACAAGACTGAATCCCCTATCTACTATTGTGGTTTGTGCAATTTTGAGAAGATGCCCACTCTACTCTTAGAATCATGCCAGCCATCAGTCAATGAAGTCTCTTCTTTTTCCTGCTGAAGCCAAAAGTCGAATCCTGACTGTCTGCTGTTGCTTATTAAATCATTCCCATCAGAAACTGCTCCAGTCCTTCCTCATCTGGTCCCACTCTAGCTGGGTTTCCTTGCTAGGTGGATAGCTCCCTCATGCCTATTTAAACAGGTTCTGCAATTTACTTCTTTCCTTTAGTATTCTCAGTTGCAGAAATACTCATGCAAAAAAGTGAAGGCTTCTGCCATTTGATTCTTTTTTAAGCTGCAAGCCTAGGTCATTTACTACCAAGACTAAATGAGACTAGTTGACAGTGATTAGATTTCTCCCTTTCTCCTCCCGCTTAAATCTGTGAATCCTCATGGTTTTAAGCAGAAGTACCACAGCTAATCTTATATGCTCTTCCTGCTGTATAAGGAAGGAAGCATGATGCTCAAAATGGCTTCAGCAATGTGTTGAATTCAAGAAAGAATTCAGGATATTCAGGATACTGGGTGAGAGTCTCTTTATTTTGCAGCACAAATATCAGGCCTTAGTATTGCATGAAGAAAGCACAGGAACTAGAAGGTGCCCTAAATAACTACACCCCTCTATATTCCTCCTTACCTGGAAATGGCTCCTCATAGGCGAGGTCTTCTCTGTTTCTTAAGGTTATGGCTGGTGGTGACAAGGTTGGCGGGGTGGGAGTCCTAGCCATACGATCACATTCAGATTCTTCTGGCATTTCTTCTTCACACATTTCTTCCACTTGATAAATCTGCATTAAGTAAATTAGCCATTTTAAAAGAAGTGTCCTCTTGATACATAATGGATTATATTAACTATCCTGGGTTTCATTTTTTGGAAGGAAAAGGTGGGATTAACATATTAAAATAAGCACAACAAACATTTTCTAAATAATTGTAAAATGAATGTTTTAAAACATAAATAATATTTTACCACTGTGCCTTACTTTTTGTAATAGCAAAATGTGGTGTAGGCTGAAGAATCCAATTATAGTTTGCAGGAAAGGGCAAGAAAAACGATGCAAAAGCACAAAGATCTAGCTTTTAAAAATATCTTTTAAAGATAGTCAGATTTATCATTTTGTGGTATACAGTGTGTTTATGATAGAAAATTATTTAGAAATATGAAATAAGCGTTCAGTTGGACACTTTGGGTATAACCTCAGTAACAATTTTATTGACTATCTATGGTTAGCATAACACAAGTGCTTCCAAATAGTGCAATAGGACCAAATCTATATCCTATAGCAGAAAACAAGCACACATGGTCTTTGTAAACCACCCAGTGAATTCAGTCTATTGGGTGGTATAGAAATGTAATGTCTAATAAAAGAGGGCATCTGTCTGTCCATTTATCAGCACTACAGTTACTAGTCCATACACCCTAGATACCTGAGACTTGGAGTGCATACTAAGGGGTCCCTAAAGGCGTATAGCTTGGGCTTTTGTTTTTCGAATGCTTTAATAAAATTCATTCAAATGTGTCCACAAGGTGGAAGCCTGCCCAATTCAAAGTGTTGTCTTTGACATTTAAAGCCCTAAATGGCTTGTGACCAGGGTACTTGAGGGAGCACCTTTCTCCATATATTCCTACCCATCCACTTAGGAAGTCCTCCTTCAAATGCCCTCCCACAGTGAGATTAAAGGGGAACGGGCCAGGAGGAGTATATTCTCAGCTGTAGCGCCTAGGCTCTGGAATTCACTCCTCAGGGATATATGGCTGGTGCCAACTCTTCTTTCTTTTAGGCATCAGGTGAAAATCTTTTCATTTAAACAATTTTTTGGTTAATTAATATAATTTATTACTTTATCTTTTGTTATGGATGATTTATCTGAATTTAATTTTGGTTAATTTATTGGCTGTGCTTATTGGAATGTGTGCATACATTTTGTTATGTGCATTATTCACTCTTTTATTGTTTTATCTATTTTTTCAGATTATTAATTGTTTCCGGTATTTTATCTATGCTTTTATGATATTTAGCATTTGTAAGCTGTCCAGAGATCCTTCAGGTTATGGGGCGGCATAGAAATGAAAGACTTCCCTAGCCAGCAAAACTTGAAGCTACTGGAGATTAGCAGGTGGAAAGACAGGTACATACTTCCTCCTGTGAAGTAGTTCCCTCATGATAATGGAAATGGACAGACAGCTACTTTAGAGGGATGTAGGGTACACCATAGCAGGAAGTATGTCTAGCAGTGCCAGTGGGCCCTGCTTGACCCAGATGGGGTGGGCACAATGCATCCAATTTGGACATACATTGTAAGATTTGGACATATGTTGTAAGATTGCTTGGCAGCATCAAACTAAAGGCTAGTTCCACCTCTGCCAAGTTTAGAAAGAAAGATCAAAAAGCTGTGCACATTGAATGATGTACATATATGACACTTGCATTCTGTGCAGAGAAAATATAAAAACCTATACTGTACCATATTACATTGGAATTTTCTTTCTCAAGTACTTTAAAGCAGACACTTAATGGTGGAAAGCAGGAGGAAGCAAAAGAATTAGCATACACAGATGGGCTATAATCAATTTACCTTTCAATGAGGATGAGTGAAAAGCACATTTTACGGTAATTACTGCTTTATAACTGTAAAACAGCTGGTGCAAAGATGGCAGCAGTACAATGCAATGCTACAACAGAAGCTTCAGTCTGCTTGATGTACATTTGGGTTTATTTAGAAATTTTTACTCTGCACTTCTGGTTGAAATCTCTTAGACCAGCTAGAATTTGTAAATCAAATGAAGATTCTATCACACAAAAATGCTAGAATTGGTAAATGTTTTGTAGGAAAAGGCATCTATTTAAAACTATTTGACAAGCTTATTCATAAGAAAACAAATATCCAGCACAAAACCCATTAATATTAAATCAGCTTTAACTTGCAATTGTTTCAGCTAGCTTTAAAGCTAGAGAGGAAGTTATCAGAGGCTTACCACTGGGGTCTCAACAGGTACTGCTTGCTGCACTTGAAGGTTTACTGCAACTGTCTGAGGAGGAGGAAGGGTCTGAAATGGCAGCTGGACCAAAGCTTCAGCAGCAGGAAGCTCCTCCTCAGAAACCAATGTATTTTGTACCAAAACCTGACCCTGGGACAAAATTTCAGGCTGCACTTGTAGAGGCTGAACAGGAGGAAGGGGAAGTGGCTGACTGTGGGTTGGAGAAGTTGATAGCTGTGGAGAGGTTGCAACTGGAATGGGTGTGGGCTGCAAAGTCGGATACTGCTGATGAGGTGTTGGAGATGTTATCTGCTGGCCTGTGGACACCATGGAAGGCTGATCTGCTGGGCCAATGTGTACTACTGGAGAAGATGGCAGTTGGGGTGGAATACTGGCTGACTGCGAGGCAGCTTCTGCTGGACTGTCATTGGCCTGTGCTGTGTTATGCTCTGGCTGAAGCGCTGAAGATGCTACTGGATGCGATTGCGGCTGAATGAGAGTCTGAGGGTGGATAATTATAGTTGGTGACTGGCTAGGTGAAGGAGGTGGTGGTGGGGATACCACCACTGATTGTTGTGAGGACTGGGATGGGGTTGGGGAAAGTGCAGGAGGAAGGGGAGGGGGGTGGATGTGAACAGGTGAACAGTGTTGTGATAGGGTACTGCTGGAAGTTGGAGGAAGAGCATGGCCCTGGAGTGGTACACAGTGTTGTGAAGAAGATGCTTCCTGACTGGGGGGAAGCTGGAGTGTGATCGGCTGAACTTGCTGTTGCTGGAAGATAAGCTGATGGTGGGATATTTTTGAGGGTGGTGAATGAAGAGGGGACTGCTGATGCTTTAACAGAGAATGAGGTTGAATTGAAGAATATGAAGCTGCACAATAAAAAGAAAAAATGGCCATTAATACTGATTTCTTAAATCAATTAAAATACACAAAAGATGCTTTCAAAACACAAAAAGATCTTTTCAAAATAGTTTTCCACCCAGTGTTTAGCCAAACCAAGAAAAGAGACCCCTACTTTATGAATACTGACATTCAATATGCATATTTCAATATATTCAGTTTGACAAGTTCTTAGAGAAACACTTGAGAACAATGAAATGTCATTTTGTTTGTATTAATCCAATCCAATCCCATAACAATGTTTTTACTCAGCTGTGCATTCTATTTTTTAAGCATAAACAGTGTTGTCAATGCATTTTATGGAACTGAAATTCCATGAGGAACCATACATTCAAGAAAGGCATAAGCAGATTTGCTTGCTTTATATACATTGTTGTGGTTCCACTAGTAAACTATGAGGATTTGTGGTGACCAGAAGCTCCATGCTTGACCACTGACTATCTTAATCAGTCTATACTCTGCTGTCTGAGATTTTATCAGGCACTCTCATCTATGACTTTTCTACATTTTGTTGGAATTAAAATAGAGTTGACTTGGAACTGAAAAAGATTTAACTGGTTTTCTTACCCCCTTTATATACCCAGATGGTTAACACTGTAAAAGGAAATATTTTTATAGCAGCACAAAAGTTAAATAAACAAAAACAATCTGGCATTTGTCAGTCACACTAAAAATATTGCAGAAGATACTTTTCAGGATTGTGCATCTTATGCGTATCAGTTGGTAATAATGTCAGTTAGATGAGTTTCAATTCCAGGTTGCAACACAACAAAATGTGGAAAGGTCAACAGGGGCTAAATGCTTCTGCAAAATACGGTTATCTTTTAAGTCACAGTGGCAGAGATTTTTTTTAAAATATAGAATCTCAATTCTTAATAAATCAACTTCTGCACCCAGTAATATAGTTTGTGTTTACATAGAACACATAAAACTTTAGATACTTCTCCAAACTAGACTGGAATTACGCATATGAAGAAGAGGGCAAGCAGGTGCTATGTGCAAAATTTCTTACCTTAAGCCATTAACCAGGATTTCACATGAACAGCTTTTTAAACAAAGGCTAAAACCTAACCCTAACCCAATCTGAGTCATGGGGAGCCTTCACTAAGCGATGTGACTTTACCTGCTGGTAAAGTCAACGTATTATTAAGCATGGATCTATCTCAGTGTAAGGGAAGTTTGTGTTTTTGAGTTGTCATATCTTAAAATATTTACAATATTTACAAATACTCTGATAACAATTACTTATAATTTAAAATAAAAATAACCTTGAAGTAAAGTGTTAACATTTCAAAATATAACATTTCAACCACACCAACTGCACTGAATTCTCCTAATTTTTTTTGTTTTGTTTTTTTGTTTTGTGTGTGTGCGCCAGCTTGCTTGCAAGGAGGACAGGCTGAGGTACTGCTGGGATACATTATATCCCAGTGGAGCAGCATTCCTCTCCTCTCTACTGCCCCAGCACCAATTCCAAGGTTGGTTTTGTGGTCTTAGGCCTGCCGCCAGTGCAGAAAGAACTGTACCACCTTTAAGGGCAGAAAGCAGAGTGCTCCAAATGTGTAGGCCCAGCTCTGACCCTGGAGCACATTGCTAAGGTCAGAGTTGGGGATCCAAATGTTTCTGTGGCTGGCAGGACAGCATCTACTGGTGGCAGGATTGTGTCCACAGTGAGTTAAAATTAACATTATTGTTTTAATTCTGTACCCTAAGCAAAATAAACATGTAAATCAGACCTCTAGTGGTATAGGGAAGTGAGTATTTTTTTTCTGGTCAACTCATATCACTGCTTTTCTTTTCAAAGCCAAGGTTGGACACCAGTGCCTGGGCCAGTAGAGACAGGCAAAATGGGAAAGGGTTCAGCTCCCCTCATTCATGTGCCACTTCATTACATTATTTTTCACTTGCCTAGAAGTTCCGATAACTCCTGAAGCTTCAGATTTTATGGCACATTCCACACAACACAGGATTGTATGCAGAGGACACACAAAACATTAATTCATTTGCAAATCAGATACACTGAAAATGATCATGTTTTAAAAAGGTGATCACTCTATCCTACCTGGTGCTATAAGCTGATGAATACTTGATGTACGTGTAACAGCTGGGCTTCGAGGCTCTGCAGTTGGGCTGTCTCCTTTTCTTTTGCTTTCTGGAGGATCTGACTGGCTGCTTTTGGTATTGGTCACAGGTTTATTCGGGCACACGGCTAGTGTCTGGGCTTGACTACTGCTTTTTGGTGAACCATTTTGTGAACTAGACAATACACCCAACTTCTGGCTGCGCAATGTTAAATTCTGTACCTGAAGATGGCAATAAAAATATAACAAAATTTAACAAGTGGTTTAGTGCCAAACTTTGCAGTTGGTGCTAAGATTAGAAAACACATGTGCATTATACCTAAATGCAATTAGCTAAGTCCCATTGGAGAAGTGGGTCAGAATTCAGCCTTGCAATAAGTACCATTCATAAGAATAGCCAGAAGAGGAGGAGGAAAGTCAGTGTGGTGTAGTGGATTACTTGTTGGACTGAGACTCAGGAGATCCAGGTTCAATTTCTGACTCCACCATGAAAATCACTGGGTTATGTGAGCCAGTCATTGACTCTCAGCTTAACCTACTTCACAGGGTTGTTGTGAGTATAAAATGAAAGGAGGACAACCATGTAAACCACTGTGGGTTCCTTACAAGAGGAAAAATGTTGGAATATATATACAATAAAATAAACATTTCCTGACCAAATTCAATGTGCTTGTTTTAGTTTATAAAGCTCTACTTAGATCAGAATGCTTAAACTTTCAAGAGCACCTCTCCTTACAATGTAAGGCTTACATGAACTTACTCAGCCCGTCCCTGACTGCAGTAGGTACACTTGTTGTACAGGATATAATAAAATACACAAGATAAACTTGCTGGATCGGACCAGGAGCCCATCTAACTAAACAATCAATCAATTCAATACATTTTCCTGTCCAGGAGTACATAGGATTGAATGCTAAGTACTTTTAATGTACGCTTACAATGCCAATCTGATGCAAGTTTACTCAAAAGTAATTCCATGTGCAAGAGACTTACTTCCAGGTATGTGTGTGCAGGAGGACAGTGCTAGGCATGCACAGAGATTAATTACAATATCAAAAATGCCGACAGCTATCATAATACAGTTTCCAATTTAAAAGGAAGAGGGAAAAGACAGTACTTCGGCATAGAGATGGGGATCTAGACCAATTTATCATATCAGTGTAATTCTACATAATGTACCAGCCAAGACCAAGTTCCACAGCCACTTTTTTACAAGCCCCTTTTCGGTGTTAGGCTTGTATCCAATGTTACTGTATTAGTTAGAGTAGGTCTATTGAAATGAATAGGAGTTAAGTTAGAGAAACATTGGGTACAACCCTCGAGGACCAACAAACATGAACAAAAGAACCACAGAAGCAAATGTATAAAGCCAGCCAGAACAAATTTTTATCTTTGATGCCAGAAGTGTGGGTTGTTGTACTATATAAATGGAGCATTGTACTATATAAACCCAGCCATGCTAACAAGCTATGGTCTGTTAATCACAAATAACCAACATATCATAACCAAAGAACAAACCATGTGTTCTCTCCATGGGCTGCTCATGGTTAAGACTGTGGTTTGATAGTGCAGGTGGGTTCACACAGTACAACAAACTGCTCTTTTAAAACAATCCACAGTGCAATGGCAACCCACATTCAACCCATACCAAAGTTTGAGTATGGTTTGTTACAATGTGTAAACCCAACCAATGGGTTTGTTAGGCCACTATGGGCTTAGGAGAGCATGCCAGCTGCCATTTTGAAGGCATAAGTGGCGACATGCTTCTAGCTTGCTTTGTCATGGGAACTCAATATTGAGGGTTTTTGAAGGGGTATGCAACCTTCAGATAACTCGTAGCTTGTTCTAGAAGTGAGGTCTGTCTATCTCTTCAAACAACCCACAATGTGACAAATGCAGGCTTATCTAACATGAATACCAGATAATTTCCAAAAATAAAAATATCCTCTTTCTCTGGCACCACCAAACAGAAACTGCAGGACTAATAAACCAGTTCTTAAAAATGCATTTCTTTCCCCTACATCCTATCACAATCTCTAAAATAAATAAAAAGTGCAAATTATGATAGCTGCAACATGCAGAGAGGTATTCAATAGCTGCTCCCCAGCTGTGGAACTCTCTTTGCCAGATACAAGCTAAAGTAAGAACCTTTCCAAAACTCTGTAAGATCTGTTTTTTGGTTGCCACTGCATGCATGGGTGCATTGATCCATTATAATAAAGTTGTTTTTGATGTCTTAGTCTAGGGTTTTTCACAGTGTTCTATATTTATTTTTAATATCTGTTGTAAGATATGTTTTTGTTGTGGGGTATGCAAAAATTTATCAATGAAACACAGAAATGGAAAGGGGAAATGAGGAGCAGTATCCAACCAGGCAGTGTGCCCCACTGATTTCACGGCACTTTTGCTTTCACAAGTGAGAGCCACTACTCGTGCAAAGGAAGCACTTTGCACTTCTGGGAGCAACTGCTAACAAACAGAAATGCTAGTTTCTGGCACAGAGCAGGTGAGAGGAGCCTGCATAAGGGACTTGTCTCTGTTGAAAGCATTACTTTTCCATAGTGCAGTAGATCCTGCTTGAGGACTGAAATCAGCAGAAAGGGCTGCTTGCACAGTGAAATCAGCAGAAGGGACTACTGCACAATGGGCTCTGTTGGAAATTGCCATATTTGGTGGCTTTTTCTTTTCCTTGTATTGTATTTACCTCTACACACAACAGAGTTCATTGGTAAGTAAATATAGGTAGCCTTGTCCAAGCTGGCTGGGGAATGCTGTGAGTTGTAGGACTATTTCTGTCTAAGCGTGCACAGAACTGCATTCTAAGGTTTCAAAGAACAATGGACTATGAAAAGTGAGCTGGTTTGGGTTAGCAAGTAAAGAGGACACAAAGGCAAAAGGAAATAGGAAAAATGTAGAAAGTAGAACTGAGAATCGAGAGACAATGGGAAAAGTTTTAAAAATACAAAAGACTTATTGACAACAACATTTCTTCTTTCTAAGGTCATTACAAGCCTTGAAATCAAAGACTATACATAAAAGGGGATTATTCTTAAGGGCCCAGTTTTCATAGACAATCAGACTGTGTTATGCTGGACTTTGTGTAAATACAATAACATTTATTTGCAGGAAAAAAAACATAACTTGGATCAGTGGTGTTGCCTGCTTCCTCAACTGTTTTTTTAAAAAGAAAAAATATTTATAAAGCAATAGATATACATCCATTTTTTTCAACCGGACTTAGAATGGACAATAATCCTGGAGTATATTTTTTGTTCAGGTTAAGATATGAAAAATGCAAAGGTCAAGGCATCACTGGTTGGTGAATGATATTCATGCTTTATGATGTCACTGCTGTCATAGAAACCATGTGTGCACACAAATGAATGCCACCAGCCAGTACAAGAGCATGGAAAGCTGAGAGAGGAGGCAACATCTTGAGTGGGGCAGGGTCAGCAAAAACAGAAAGAAGAACGCTCCTCGGCCCGGAGTACAATTCTGCTTGCGGACACCTAGTATGGCTCAGGAGATTGACTGGCTACAGAGTCAGGCAGGCCTTTGCAAAGTAGACCTCTATAGCCCCAACGGACAGAGCGATCAAGATCGTAAAGTGATCTGTTTTGTTGATGTCTCCAGCCTTAACATAAAGGACAACGAGAAACACAGGAGAAACAATAACTTACCTAGCCCTTCCCTTGACCTGCGCAATCTTGAAGAAAAGGAAGTCATTGTAATAAAGGATAACCAACGTGATAATAGTACTAATACTGAGGGAGCAGTCTGCCTTTTCAAGCAAGGTTCCTCTGAAGAAGTCAACGTTGTGAGCTGGCTCAGCAACGACCTTCAGAAATACGCAGTTGGATTCCAGCATGCACTAACCCCCTCAGGCCCTCGTAAACAAGCTTACGAATTGCCTGCATTTGACAGGATGTCCCAAAGCAGTGACACATCTTTCAGGGGCTCTGGTAGCCAGAGAGGAGATGATCTTTCTTATTATGTCAACAAACTGTGTTCGTTAGTGGTTCAAATGGCACATAAAGAAATGAAGGATAAATTTGAAAGCAGTGGTAGGTGCATTCGGCAGTCAATTAATCCCCGTGGATCTAATGGCAAGATTGGTGATGACTATGGAAAGCTATCTCCCAAGTCATCTCATGATGACCCAAGAAAGGCTTCACTTTTTTATGGAGAGATGTCCAATCAGTCTAATCAGAATGGCTACCGGCAGGGAGCAGACAGACAGTTAGAAAGGAAACAGTCAGGACAGGATGATGGTTCTGTAAGCAAAGGACTGATGGTGTATGCAAACCAGGTTGCTTCAGATATGATGTTCTCATTCATGAAGACTATGAAAGTCCAAAAGGGAAAGCATCCTCCACCAGCTTGTGTAGTATTAAAGAAGGTACTTCTCAAACATACCAGAGATGTCATCTCTGACTTAATTGACTCCACCATGAAAAATCTGCACAATGTAACAGGCGTGCTCATGACGGATTCAGACTTCGTTAACACAGTAAAGAAGAACCTATTCAATGCAGGAACCCAGAAGTCAACTGAGATCCTGGAAGCAATGGTGAAGCGCTTGTTTAAAGCGCTGGCAGGTGATGACAGAAAATCGCAAAGCCTTGCATTCACAGCCTTGAAAACAGGTGCTCATTCAGACTCCAGATCTCAGGGACTGCAGTTTGCATCCCTTAAAAGTGAAATGCATGGGGGCAGAGGAAATGGACAAATGCGGCCCCTTCCCTCTGGAAGCAAAGGTTCAGACAAGCACTGCTCAATGGATGTGTATGCAAAGGACCTTATTGTAACTGCATTAATGTTAATACAACAACATCTCTTAGAAAAAAACAAGGACCAAGGACTCCGTGAGACAAACACAACGTCATTTGGCTATGTTCATGACAAAGCTGGTGGTTCTAAATATGGTTCAAGAGCAGGCGGGAGGCAAGATTCTCACCTCGAATCACAAAAAGGTGATATTTCAAGTATTCTCTTGTCAATCATCCAGAAAGTGCTAAGAGAAGCTGGGTGTGCAGATGACAGCTCCTCAGACAGGGGCTATAAGCAGCCCCCCGTTGTTGAGAGCAGACCACAGAGGGCCTTGACAAAATCTGCTGGGGGACAGGATATGTATGACAACATGGAACAGATAAACAAACAGTTTATTGACCAATTGGTGGAATCTGTGATGAAGCTGTGCCTGTTGATGGCTAATGGCAGTGACTCTGATGGAAGATATAATGGGAGACCATTAGGGGGTGGAGGCTCTGAGGTGATTGTGAACAACCAGAACTGCAACAACAGTGCACAGAACAAAGAGCTGCAAGCTGTCCTCCAGTGGCTGGTTGCTTCACAATTCAATGTGCCGAACCTGACATTCATGAATGAGCATGATGGAGAATTGGCCAAGCTTCCTCAGCTGGCTGATAAAGCAGCCAAGAAAGGCTACAGCGTGGGAGACATTGTTCAGGAGGTAATGAGGTACTACGAGAAACAACAGATGGATGCCATGTCAGGACACACGCCTCGGTCTGGCCTGGTTGATTGGCTGCTTGTTAACCTGTAAGAACCAACTCTTCCCTCTCATGTTACTCTCAGGTGCCCAGCCTAGGCGCCCAAACCATTCTTTACTGGCGCAACAGAACCACCACTGCAGCCCCATTGCAACCAACAATGCACTGAATTGAACTGGGGTAGCTGGGCAAGCTCATCAATAAAAAAGAATTAAAAAAAAGTGAGAGGGGAAGACAGGTTGTTTTATTGATTACTTCAAACAAATTTTTACAAATAATCAGGACCCAGTTAGTGACATTATTACACCTATTCCAAGGAATCCAGAATATTGCACTAAAATAAAATGGCAGGATGTGGTTACACACATTCAAATTTCTACCACCTCTATAAACTGATAAAACTAGTAATAAAAACAGAAGAAGATGAGTAAGAGGAAAATGGGGTGATTCCACCAAGAAAGTTTTCAAAAAAGTCCATATTTGCAGCCACAATAGCTGAGAAAGTATCAATAGCCCTCAGTAGTACAGCAAATTATAAATCAGATGCATTGCATTTTAGAATTCTATACCCACTTCTGTTTGGTGGATGTTTAAAAAAATTTCAGGCCCTACCCTCATTTACCTATGATAGAAAACACTTCACAATGAGGGTCTTTTGGATCCAGGACAGAAATAAAAATAGGACAATGTATTTACAATTCACTTCTCTCCCTGGTCAAGTTAATCTTAAAGTAGCCTCCTTTTCAACCAACTGCCCCCATTGTTCTGCTGTCTACAGTTTCTTGGGTCAGTAGGATAATGCAATTAACAAACTCTTTAAGCAAACTGGTATTTTGATACTTAAGGGAGATTTTCCCCTTTTACACAGATGTGTCTAGGCTGGGTGCAATCAGAGACAGAAGTGTTAAATTCTGTACTAATAAGCTGGAATGATATTGTGTTCTGGTAGATTCTGCTCACCCACTAAGGGCCCCACAAATTAATGTATCTAAAATTAGAGGAAAATTAAAATGAATGCATGAAACTTGATGACAAAGGAAAAGAGCAGGAAGAAAGAACTGGAGGGTTGACCGCTTGAGCATTATGGGATATAGCCTACTTCCACGAGTCATCTGGATAAATCCATACTTCAGTTGCATTGAAGCATCTTAGTTTCCCCTGCCCTGATTGGTATATTAAATTTGGTTCATGAATTACTATAAAAAAGTAGTGCCTAATTGTAGACATTACAATTGTTTAAAAAGGATGAGCTGATTATGTGGCATTTGGGGTGCAGTTAGTGTGCTCAGGACCACAGTCTGAACAACATGAATGTTGGTGCTCCTTCCTAACAAGGATTATGCATTCAAGCTTGTAGCAATAAATCTGAACCTGCGCCTTAAGCATTTCTACACATTGATGCACTGACTGCAAGGCTTAGAAGCTTGGTAACATAAAAAAGACTTTTTCCAATGCAGCCTTCACCCACTACAACATTTGAGAGATTCTTACAACTGCAGTCCCTATAATTGATAAAGTAGTATCTTATTGAAAGACTGCATTTAATAACTTTTAAACAAAATGCAGATTTTACAGTAATAAAACACAACCTTACATGTCCATGTTTTATCTATTAGGATAGGGATGCAGAACCTACTTCAGTCCAAGGGTCAAATTCCATTTTGGCTGCTGCATTCTAGTGGTGGGTGAAGCTGAAGGCAAATGTGGCAGAGCCAAAAAAAACAAAAATATCTGCATATTTTAGCTTATACTGCCAAAAGTTTTGCTTTAGGAGAGGCATTTCAACCTTTTAGCTTGGATGGAACTGTACAAGAAATCCATAAACTGCCAAATGACGGATGATCAAGAAAAGGTGCATGGCCTTCTGGGGAGCCCCAGAGAGGATTTGGACTCCTAGAGTGAGATTTTACAAACCTGCTTTAGTTATTCCTTCCCCCTATCTCCCAGTAAGACCATACACCAGGAATATTACTCTCATTCAGAGATCTCCTTATAGGATAAATGCCAAGTTCAGATATCACAACAATCCAGGATTTTTTCAAAACCTGGCTAGAGCATGCCTGATGGCAGCTGCTGAAGGGGAAATGGCTAAACAACCCAGGGAGGTTCCATTGTTGGACTGTTCAGCATAACACAGAAACCAGGAACTCTGGTTTATTGGGGAAAATATAAGCCAGATGTTTGTCTGTCCCATAACAAGCCAAAGTTCCTGGTTCACATATCAGAGATGCTAGTGGCAGAGAGGGTAGAACAACTTAAATAAGTTAAACAAACCAGGGAAGAAGTGTTGTTTTTGTGGAAGCAATTGGGCAGCATGCCCATGTAGGTCCACTCATTCCTAACAGTCAGGGATTAAAAACAAACCTCTGGGTTATTGTGATGTCTGGAACAGGCTGTAGCACCAGTGCTCAATAGTGGCAGGCTCAGACCTATCAGCACCCCCGTACTGGCTTTCCCGACCACCACTGGTCTACCACACAGAAGTTTTTTGTAGTTTGACCTCTGCATATCTCACTGTGGACTTTGCTGAGATATCCCAAGGGCTTAGAAAAACTTCAAATTAATTCTGCTATAAGAGTACCCTAACAAGAAAGGAGTTGGTTTTTTTAAACATTAATGTGAAGAAGAATTTTGTGGTGGTACAAATCAGATGGAAGACTAAAGTGAATAACAAACAGTATTTAGTGATAAGGAACTGGAGACATGATGTGTGACAATGTAATGCAAGAAAGAAGATCATCAGCATGCAAAGGGAGCCAAAACCAGTACTCTTAGAAACTCATGGTATTATCACTGGAGTAATCTTGACAGCAGTTTCAACACTAGTTACTACAAGTGCTGTCAGAAGGCAATTCCCTGCCCCAGGTAACTAGTTGCTTTAGGCTCAAGTACAAAAAGGTTATTTCAAAGTATGCATTCTTGAAAAAAATTATTTCTCACACATGCACTCCATATACCCTTCGCTATTCATTGAAAGCTTACTAAAGCAAACAAATACTTCACACACACACACACACACACACACACACAACTTTGGGGAAATGTATCATCTTGGACTCTAGCAGGCCTCCCCAAAACAAAGCAAAATGGTCACTGAGAATCGCAGAAGAAAGATCTTAAAGGCTTCAATTTTCAGGCAAGGAGGCAAGCTACACAGGATATTTTGATGGTACGTTAAGTTTCAGGTGGACTCTGAATCTTGAATCAGGAAGTGTATTCCTTTCACACAAGCTAAAATTTAGGTACTGCTCCCGGGTTCCTCTAAAAAAGAGCACGGTAGTCCTAGTGTGAGTCACTTCTGCTTAGCATACACCAATCCATACATCATTTGCATGCAGCAGAAGGCTGTAAAAGAACCTGAATGCAAGTAACTTCAGAGCTAGGGCTATTCTGAATTGACAAAAAGCATCCACCAGAGCTTGAAATAAGCTGTTTTGCCTACATTTTGAGGTTAAGGCAAAATTATCTTGTGCAATGAAAAGAACTGAAGCAACTGCTATTTGTCCAGAAAGTCCTGTTTAGAGCTGCTTTTTAAACTCTGGAAAATTTAAATAGCTACCTCCTTTGCCACTTGCTGAGGACTACCATTAAAACTGGCAAAGGGGAAAAGGTAGTCTTTCACAGCTTACATAACATTCTCTTATCTCTACATTACTAAGGGTACAATCCTGTGCATGTTTGGACAGAATAAAATCCGACAAATCCTAGCATGCCCCACTCAGCTGGAGGGATGTGGAGTGTTTTAGGGTTTTTTTTCTGTCTAAATGTGCTTATTTGCCTATACTTGCTTGCCTACTGTTCATCAGTGTGAACACACTGCCAGCTCAGAATGGAAGTCAACAAATTGTATCACATTTTAATAGACCTTCACAGAACTTCCCTTCATTTCTGTGAAGGTCTATTCACAGGTCCCTTCATCCCTTCAAAAGCCCTGAAGGGATGAAGGTCCCTTCATCCCTTCAAAAGCCAGGTCAAGAGGCAAGTCAAACAAAGTTTGGTCAAATCACTGATCTGATTTTCACAATCCCCACAGTTTAAAGAAGACACAGAATGCACAGCATGTGCAATGGCTTGAACAAGCCATAATGGCTTAAGCGGCAGGATGTGCTTCATGCCATTTGCCTTATTATGCTCTCCAAACCTAGGCAGCATGGCTTGTTTCAGAGGGAAGCAAATAACCCCTGCCAAAAACTGCTACTAGCTGACAGAATCTTCCCAAATACAGGTACTGCGCAGGCACAGCACCCATATGTGTGATGCACAGAGACCATGATGAAGAATGGCTTGTTTCAGAGGAAAGCAAATAACCCAAGCAAAGGCCAGGGAATACTTGAGGGTTGGTTCTGTCTCAAATAATCCATAAAGAGGGTAGGGTTCCTACCTTTCTGAAGGAAGCCACAATATGATGTCTCCTTAAGAAACCTAATTTGAACACTTTAACCTTAAAAAATTTAGACCAGTCACAAACATACAATTTCTTTGTAAGGTGATAAAGAAAGCAGTCTCTCTCCAGCTCCAGGTTGTCCTGCATGATACTGATTTTCTGGACCCATTTCAAAATGGCTTCAGAACAAAATATGGAATTGAGACTGCTTTGGTCACTCCTGTGGATGACTGATGACTCAGAATTGACAGGGAGAGTGTGTTTCTGTTGGATTTCTCAGCAGCCTTTGATACTTTTGAAGGTAGCATCCTTCTAGATCGTCTGAGAGAATTAGGAACTGGAGATGCTGCTTTGCAGTGGTTCTGTTCCAACCTCTCAGGTCAGTTCCAGATAGTGATACTTGGAGGCTGTGGCTCCTCCAAGAAGGAGTTCCCTTGTGAAGTCCCACAGGGCTACATTTTGTCTTCAATGCCCTTGACATCTACATGAAGACACTGGGAAAGATCATCCAGAGGAGAGGCACTGGGTGTTACTAATATGATTTTGACACCCAGATCTACTTCTCCTTACCATCATCTGCTGCTGCTTCTAGAGATGAAATCTCCTTTCTGGACTGCCTGGTGTTGGTAATGGGCTGGATGAGGAAAAACAAATTGAAGTTGAATGCAGACAAAAACAGAAGAGCTTGGTGTTAAGGGTCTGAATCCAGGATTAGAGGTTATCAACTGGTTCCAGGTGGGGTCACTCTCCCCTTGAAAGACCACATTTGTCAGTTCAAATAGAAGCTGTGGTCAAGGATATCTGCTATCACCTTCAGCTTATTTACCAACTACATCCCTTCACGGAGGAGAATGACTTGAAAACAGTAGTGCATGCTCTGGTAACTTCTAGGCTCAAT